CTGCATCTTGCCCCTCTGAAAGAGCCATGATGAATGAACATGAGATTAAATCACTCATAAGAGAAAATGATGCGGGACCAGCAGCTGGCGTAATGGCTATGTTGCTGGACTTCCATGGAGTCGACTGTGGTTGGGGTCCCAGACCCAGTGGCTTAAACTCATGCCGGGCGCGTGTGCATACGTGTTCAAGATCCCGAGAGGAGAATGGAGGAGAGGGGATTGTGGTGTGGCCATCCCCCCTGGGGGGTGATTTCTCACTTTCTGTCTCTCTCTTTCTGGCAAGCACACGTGCCCTATAGCAAAAACCTCTAAAAAAAAAAAAAAAAAAGAGAGAGAGAGAGAGAGAGAGAACATGATGCAATCAAGATGCATATAGGGGACCAGCAGGTGGCGTGGTGGTTAAGGCACTGGACACTCCCACATGTCCAAATGCAGTTCAAATACCGGACCTGGTGGCTTGCTTTCTCACTTTCCCTCTCTCTCTCTCTCTGTATCTCTCTCTGGTCAAATTAAAATAAATGAATGAATAAATAAAATTAAATAAATAATTATTTAAAAATGCATATAGATGCTATACAGAAAATGCATGAAGCTGCTACTGGCATGACATAGCATGCTGTTTTACAGTGAATTATATATATGTGCATGTGTGTATATGTAGTACATTGCAAAGTTGCAGTAAAAAATGTAGTGTAGTAAACAGATATACCAGTAACCCAGTCACTATTATTATCAAGTGATACATACTCTCCATAACTGTGCATGCTATACTTTTACACAACTGGCAGTGCAGCAGGTTTGTTTATACCACATCACCAGAAGCATATGAGTAATGTGTTGCACTATTGCTCTGTCTCTGGGCTATCAGAATTTTTCAGCTTCATTATAATCTGTGGCACCACCATCATATACACATTCGGTCTTTTATTTACCAAAACATTGTTACGTGGTGCATGACTGTAAATTTACCGAATGTCAGAAAAGGAGCCAGGCAACCCTGTGTCACTGTTGGAGCTGCTTAATGCTCTTGAAGACCTCAGGATGTCTGCCTCTTCTGAGGTCGAGGCTAGGGGGGTGGAGTTTGCTCAGAATGTCTGCCCTGTGTCTGAGGAGCACTGGCGCTTCTTTGATATAGCCTTTATGCTGCCCCACAGTCAGCCCAATTTGTCATTCATGGAAGTCACGATTCCTGCCCTCACGGTGATCTCGACCTAGTTAGAAGGCGGCCAGTCAGCCGAGGGTGACACCTTAAGCAGGATGCAGTGTTTTCCCAGCAGGGAGCTGAAATGCTGCGAAGGTGAAGACAGACTGGGAACCATCTTCTTAGAGAACCAGAAAAAGCATAGGTTAGAGAAGAATATTTCTGGCTAAAAAAAGCCCTCCCAGAGATAGAGAAGTTGGGAATTTCGGACTGTATTTCAGAAGTGGAAGTGGATGAGCACGTCAGGACTGGCTGGTAGGAACCTCAGCCGTCCAGCTAGAGCCTGTCTGGCTGCTGAGTGAAATGAGATCCAACTCTCCTTCGCTCAGGTCCATCTGACATTGAAAATGGATCACTGGTCTTGCTTAAACAAAGCTGTGAAGGCATCAAGGAGGAGAGGAAGTGGTTGGGGTGTCCCCAGGGGTGAGGCCGAGGACAGTGGAGGCTGGGGAAAGCCATGTCCTCTGGCAGATGTTACCTCATCTCTTTACTTCAAGTATTTGGGCAGTGGAGGCTGTGCCCATGGTACTGATGAGAAATCAGGTTTAGGAGATTGTTATGCACAAAATCACAGGCGTAATTATCAGAGCTGGGAGTCGAGCTAGGCACGTGGGGCTCCGATTCCCTCAGCCTTTTCTTTTCTCTGTAGGAGTATTCTTTGCTGATTTTGGACTAGGAAGGTGCCCCATTCCAGGACCAGCTTGTTTGCAACTTATAGTTTCTGAAGTGCCATTCCTGGTGCGATATGTTGGACCTGCATGAGTCCATTTGGGCTTCTCTAACAAAACACCGTAGACTGGAGAGCATAAACAAGACATTTGTTTCTCACAGTTCTGGAGGCTGGAAATCCAAGGTCAGTGTGCTGGCAGCCAGTGTCCGGTTTGCAGACTGCTACCTTCTTGCCAAATCCTCATGTGGTGGGAAGAAAGAGAAGAAGCAAGCTCTCGTGTCTTTTCTCATAAGGGCACAAATACATTATGAGGGTTCCTCCCTCATGACCTAATCACCTCCCAAAGGCCCCAACTCTAAATGCCATCACATTAGGATTAGGGCTTCAACATATGAAGTGGATATAACCATCTATAGCAGAATGAGCAGCATTTCCTTCTCCTGACTTTCAGTTTTTTGTGTTCACTTGGACAAACCTTTTAACCTCCTCAGTCCTCAACTTCCCCACTAGTGATATTTGGTCGCTGCTGAGAATGTTCCCTGACCCCAACACCCAGTGACTCCTCAGTCTGTGGCTTCTTCTCCAGTCTCTCTTAGTGCAGCTTCTCCCCATCATGGTCCATGTTTTTTGGTTGCTCAAAGGTACTTACGTCTCACCACACCGTCGTCTCTCTCCTAGCCCACGCACCTGTCTTTCACACACATAACGAACTCTCCCGTGTTTGAGAATGCCTTTGAAAGTGTGGATGTCCTTTTTTAATGTCAAGGAATGAGGTCCTTCACAAAGACATGTGATAACAGATGGTCCTGGCACCAGGCCCAGCGAGCGGAACCTGGTCATGTTGCTCCATCCAATCAGCCGTGGACATTCCATTTCATGAGTCAAGGTTAAGTAGTACATGGCTCAGCACAGTCGCCAGCCAAGAAAGGTCACTCCTTCAGCTCACCTCAGACAGTGCCTTCTTTATAAAGGCTTTTTATAGCTCACTTTCTTGGGAGTAACTTTATTCTTAATTAAGAATTCTAATTTTAAAGTGAGCTCTGACCTTTCTTTCCAGAATCCTTCTACGGTTTTGATTGCATTTCATGGGTAGAAATTAAGATCCTTTATTGTCTGTTATCTCTGTTTTCCTCCATAACTAATTAGCCATGGCAAACTGATGCTTTGCTGAGATTATAAATGGTTCTGTCCTGCTAGAATATCAGTAAGGATCTTTGGGAAGTTTTACCAAGATGCTAAATAGAATGTTTGGCCATGTGAGGCCCCGCTGTAATTTGAATGTCCCCTCCAAAACTCATGTTGAAATTTAGTTGTCATTGCATCAGAATTAAGAGGTAGGGGAACCAGCAGTTAGCGTAATGGCTATGTCGCTGGCCTCCCATGTAGTCGACCGCAGTTTGCGTCCCAGACCCGGTGGCTTAAAACTCAGACCGGGCGCGTGTGCGTGCGTGCCCAAGATCCCGAGAGGAAAATGAAGGAGAAGGGATTGCGGCGTTAATATCCCCTCTGGGGGGTGATTTCTCACTTTCTGTCTCTATGTCTCTCTCTCTCTGTCTGGCGAGCGCACATGCCCTATAGCAAAAACCTCTCCAAAAAAAAAAAAAAGAATTAAGAGGTAGTACTCTGCCTTCTGCCTTGGACCTGCTGCACAAGGCCCTCACCAGAGGCTGGCACCATGCTCTTGGACTTCTAGCCTCTAGAACCACAAGCCAAATAGTACTTATTGTTCACAGGTTACTGTCTGTGGTGGTGTTGTAGCCACAGAAAATGGACTAGGACAGACCCTTGTTCCTCAGGTGTATTTTGGCATGAGTGGGAGCTGTGGTTAAATTACGTTTGATCGAGGCTGGAAGGTCGTATGGTGGTTAAGGTGCTGGACTCCCACATGACTGACTGCAGTTCAAGTTCCAGACCTAGCTGCTTGCTTTCTCTGTCTGTCTGTCTGTCTGTCTGTCTGTCTCTCTCTTGTGAGCATGTATGCCCTGTAGCAAATTTTAAAAAGTAAAAATAATGATAAATAAATTTTTAAAAATATGTTCATTTCTTCACAGTGAGATTTAAAGGAAAGAGCAGAGGGAACATGTCTTAAAATTTAGAGAATTAGGAGTTTAATTAGGGTTCTCTGGACAAAGGTTGATTTAACTAGCACTGGAAAGTGATTGTTCCTGGTGTCACCCTCTGTGTGCAACCTCAGGCATCTTTGTGCTCAGGACAGTTGAAGGGAACAGTCTCCTTTATGACCTAGCAGCAAGGCTAAGAAAACAACCTGGTGCCCATCAGTAGAAGAACGGGTGAATAAATGAACTGGAACTACATGTGCCATCAAAAAAATCTCAAAAATATAATGCTAGAATCTTTCATATTTATCTATCTATCTATATATAATGCTAGACAAAAAAAAAATGCTGAACAATATGGTACAGCCTAATATCATTTACGTAAGGTTTAAAACAAACAATACAATGTTTAGATGCTGTCTGTGGCTACAAACACACAGTCAGCATACAATAAAAGGCAAAGAGATAATGAATGCCCAATTCAAGAGAGTGGATACCTCTGGGAATGGCAGGGCAAGGCGATTTGGAAGGTGTTCACACACAATGTCAGTGGCTTCCCTGATAATTTTTTAAGTTGGTAAGTATATACATTTAAATTAGTATTTATATTTTTGAAAAGTAGTTTTTAAGAAAAAGGAGAAACGTTTCCTAATTGATTGGTCAGCAGGCTTGATTGTAAGGAGTTACTAACCAGGTCTTTTGGAAGCTGGTTAGCTTGAGATTTTGCTGTTCTCTCAGTTTTTGCCCCGTCATGTTCCCCATGGCTCCTTCAGCACCCTTAGCACTAGCACCAGTGGGAAAAAGAGAAGACACGAACCCCCTCATTTGATGATTTTAGTTTTCTGTTTATGAGTGGGGAGTAAAACGTATGCAGTAAAGGAAGTCTTCACATTTCGAGGATGTGTTATTCATTGGTTAACTAAGACAAACTTGAATTGCCCCTTGTACCAAACCACAGGGGCAGAGGGTAGTAATCTCCCTAAACCCACCTTGCATCTTGTTCTCACATCCCCCCCCATTGGAGTGGTTTTGATGTCTCATTCTGAAGTCAGTGTTTGTTTTGCATTAACAGCATGGCCGGACCCCCCTGCATCTTGCTGCCAATAAAGGCCATCTTTCTGTGGTCCAGATCTTACTGAAGGCTGGCTGTGACCTTGATGTCCAGGATGATGTGAGTAGAAGCCACCATTCTATCAGGGGGTGAGTTGGCAGGGCATTTCTCTGCATAGAACTCCATAGTACAAAGAATAAGCAGCCCTGAGAGGACAGGGGAGTAGGTGCTTTCCTAGCACTTTTTAGCTGCATCTAACTCCCTGTGGTGGAAGGGCTTCCTCTTGAAGACCTGCTCTGAGACCCATTCTCACCAGTAAATTAGAGTTTGGAGTGGTTCTCCCATCACAGCTCCTTCCCTGCTAGTTATCATTTAAATACAGAGTCTTGAAAGGCATTTTGCCAATGTCTTATCTGAGTACAAAAAAGAAGACACACACACACACCAGTGAGGGTGGGCAAGCCCTACTGGAAGTGTGTATCAATAATCAGATTTACCATTGGAGAAAAATAGGTCTTAGAAACTTTATTTTCTTCCCTTTCCTCACTTTGATTTCTCCTCATCAATGTACATTTAGTTGAAAAGGACCTATTCAAGGGGGGAAAACAAAGGATACAGATCTTGTGGAATCTTAGAAAAAGGAGGCTTTCACCAAGAGTCCACTCTGGCTCTGTGTTCTTACTGAGGCATGGATACCAATCAACTCAACTCCGAGTCATCAGACTTCGAGAGGGCTCCAGTTGCTCCTCTGGGTCAAGTGGCTAATCCCAAGTCGGTCAGCAACTGCTGGAGCAGGATCACCTGGTACATGGGGTCGCTCTATTGAGTCTTTGGAGAAGGTGGATTCTTTAAGAAGGGATCATGTATTTTGTTCTCCAATGAGCTGTTAGAGAAAGGGCCTACGATAATGTGATTAGAAACTATTTACAGAACTATTTCAACTCTCTTTCAGGTAGAGCTGAATGAGAATTCAGGTAGGACTCAGAAATAAGAATTTTTGTAAGGAATATGGAGTCTTAGAGAACTTGCACATGCCATACCTCTCCCAGCTTCACCTTTTATAACTGTAGTTAGAGAGTAGTACTCAAAGTTTCAGACTCTCGGGTGTGCTACCAAAGTGCTTCTAGTTTGGGTCTCTGTGTAATGCCTTAAAACTTGGCAAACACACTTAGCGGAAATAACTAAGTGGCCCAGCAGGTGGTGTGGAGATTAAGGTGCTGAATTCCACATGGCCAGCGTTGTGGTCCTAGTCCAAGACCCAGAGGCTTGAGAATCATGCTATGTGCATGCATGCCCAAAATCCCTAGAGGAGAATGGAGGAGAGGTGATTGTGGTGTGGTCTCTCTCCCTGGAGAGTTGATTTCTCATTTCCTCTCTCTCTCTCTGGCAAGCATGCTTTATAGAAAAAAAACTAAAACAAACAAAAAAACACTAAATGTGGCATTGTTTCATGCATAGGCAGAAGGCTATATCTTTCTTTTCTTTTTTTTGAGAGATTTTTGCTACTGGGTATGTGCACTCACTGAAGAAACATACATAAAGCAAGAAGTCACCCCCCCCATGGGGGGATGGCCACACAGCAACCCCTTGTCCATTCTCCTCTTAGGATTTTGAGCATGCACACACACGCGGCTGGCCGCCAGGTCCTGGACAAACCATGGTCGACTATGTGGGAGTCCAGCAACATAACCATTACGCCATCTGCTGGTCCCAAGGCTATATCTTTCTTAAATCTCTGGTTATATCTGGAACCCGTTAGGTCCTCAAGGATGTTACTTTCAAAGGTGTTGATTTAGCTTTAGGTTGATTTCTACCTTGGATCATAACACTTTCATTTTCCCATATCGTAACCATCATAAAATTCCTGATTGTATCATATCTTTGGATGACAGGAGTGAAAATATAGGGAGAGGAGAGATGCTGACCACAGAAAAGCAGGGCATTGAGTTGCTGGTGCCAACATGTCAGGATGCATCTGATCTTCTCTGCATAATTAAAGCTCTTGCTTGCCGTGGCAGCAGGGCCGCAACGCCAGACATGCTAACCTACTCTAACCAGCACACCCGCCTCAGGTCCTGAGCTCCGAGTGTCCCTGTGTTCTCATGCAGCAAAAGCTGCGCTAATTTCCTAGTAAAAACTGCTGCTATTTTTTAAAAAATTATTTAACTTTATTTATTATTATTATTATTTTCCAGTTTGATCAGAGAGAGAAAGGGAAAGTGAGAAAGTAAGCCACCAGGTCTGGGACTCGAACATTGGTCAGCCATGTGGGAGTCCAGTGCCTTTAGCCACCATGCCACCTGCCAGCTCCACTGCTGCTATTTTTATCAGGCAAGGTGAGAAGTAAAGTGGCAGGCATTCTCACAAGGCAGCCAAGGTGAGACATGTCAGTACAAGGAAAGCCAGCTCGACTTGTAGGCAGGAACACCTGTGTTCATTTACGCATTTTCTTGCATCTTTTCCTTGTGCCAGAAAAACGATGCATATATTTCTTTGGCCACATAACTTAAGTTGAAATCAAACAAAAACACAACTAGAAACAGTGTAAAAACAGTTGGGAATGGACCTTCACTATTTCTAAAGTAATGCATTTGTCAGTGTATGCTCCATATCTGTCTTCAGTGCATTTACCATGCCTGCTGGTGATCAGCCTGGCAATAATGCAAGAGTTCAAGGAAGAGGGACTGGCAGATGGTATAATGGTTATGTCACTGAACTCCCATGTAACCGACTGTAGTTCTAGCCCCAGACCTGGCAGCTTAAAACACACACCGGGCACGTGCGCATGCATGCACAAAATCCCAAGAGGAGAATGGAAGAGAAGGAATTGTTGCATGGCCATTCCCCTGGGCCAGGATAGGGGTGGGGCAGTAGTGGTTTCTCACTTTCTGTCTCTCTGGCAAGTGCTTGCACCCTATAGCAAAAAAAAAAAAAAAAAAAAAAACCTCTAGGAAAAAAATTCATGTGAGGTGTAATGTTACAAAGAATTTACTCTTAACTTCATATTCTACAGATACTGATCTTTATTGCATGGTAAGGACTGAGAATTAGTTGAAGAATGACCTCCAGTGGCCTGGAGTGGGATTATTATGAATTTCAACCCACGGAAACCAGTTCTTTAGAATACGCAACTCCAGAAGCAAATTCTCTCTTGCTTCGCGCCAATCCTGAGAACACTCATTGGAGCGCTAACGCCATCTCCGATTGGTCAATGAGTAATCACACAGTCCCCATCTCAGAAATAGTCGAGGACCCTGTGGCCACAGTAAAAGACATGAAGGAAGAAAAAAATAAGAGAAACCAGAGGAGAAAGGCTAGGAAGATCCCTAGAAGATCAGAGAGAGAAAAAGAGGTCAGAACTTGCTTTGCAAACCTGCCCTGTCTTGAGCTTCCTTGCAGCATGTCTGCCTGTGCTGGCTAGAGGTGATTCTTCCTGAAAAGGGCCACACTTCACCCTTGCATGTCTGGGTTTTTTTCCATGACCTTGTCTTTCGAGTCTGCCGACACTGTGTTTACCTTTTTTTTCATCACATAGGGGGAAAAAAAAATAGAGAGAGAGAGAGAGAAGTATTTTAAAACAAGGATTTAGACATCAGAGGTTCCAAAGCTCTTAAAATCCCTAAGTGAGGAACATTGATGCCTCAGAAAAACTGAGAGCTAGCAGTTCATTTACTTTTGCAAACAGGTCAGAATGTTCCACATCACAGTGCCAAGTTGCAAGGTGGCTGGCTCTTCAGGTTTCTAGCTGCAGCATTTCCCCTTCTACTTCTTTGTAGTTAATCAATCAGCCAATACTTCTTGGGTGCCTGTAGTGGCCAAGGCACCGTGCTAAGCACCTAGCATTATGACACCATAAAAAGGCAGCCCTAGCTCCAGTCACCTGATCTTTTTTTAAAATTTGTTTTGCTTATTTTGCCAGGGGGCACATGCACTTGCCAGAGAGAGACAGAGGAGAGTGAAAAGGAGAGAGAGAGAGAGAGAGAGAGAGAGAGAGAAAGAGGAAAAGCTTCCCCCCATGGGGGATAGTCACATTTCCTCTATTTCCTCTATTTCAGGACACTATGCACACACGTGCACCTGGCATGTTTTCCAAGGTACTGGGTCTGGGTCTTGAACCACAGTTGGCCATGTAGGATCCAGCCACTTTAACTACTAGGCCTCCAGCTGGCCCAAACAACTCATTCTTTTTGAGGTCTGTCCTAAGGTTAACTGGCTTCCCAGATGGAAACCAAAACCTTGACATTTTGAATTCTAGTCCTCCCATGCTACCCTGAGTAGCTAGCTACTCTAGGCTAGGCTTTATCAATAAAATGCAAGAATTAGATGTCATGACAGGTGGCACATAGTAGGAGGTCAGTAAATATTCACAGAATAAATACTGAGTAAACATCATTGAAAACAATGTACTTTTCCCAGCATTTCTTTTCAGAGTTTCAGAATATCATGGTTGATTTAGATCATATAGAACAAGGATTATGTCAGAGTTTGAGTCCATTAGTGTGTATCAAGGGCACAGTTCTTTTTTGTGTCATATCTCAAAGAGGAAATGTTTTAACAGTAGATTTTAATTTTGTCAGAGGAAAAGTTAATTTATAGGTAATTGACCCTATTTCGACTGAGGGCCTCAAGGAGGTAAGTTGTGTTCTAGGGAAGAATGGTTCTGAGATGATAACCTGAGGCAGCCCTTTGCTTATGCTTCATGAATCTCAAAGCCTTTGATTGTCATCTTGGCAAATTAAGAGTAGCCATTTTTTGTTTGTTTATTTATTTATTTTTAAGGTTTTTTGTTTTGTTTTGGTTTGGTTTGGTTTTTTGCCATAGGATGAATGAGTTTGCTGGAGACAGAGAAGAGATAGTGAAGGGAAAGTGAGAAATCACCTCCCAGGAGAATGACCCCCTACAATCCCTTCTCTACCATTCTCCTCCTGGGATTTGGGGCATGTTTGCACAGGCACCCAGAGCGATTTTCAAACCACTGGGTTCGGGGCTTGAACCATGTGGCTATGTGGGAGCCCAGCACATATGCCACCTGCTGGCCGCTCCACTACTTTTTTAGTTTGTTTACTGTTTCCATGAATAAGAGAAGGAGGAGGAGGCAGACAGCACCCCCGCAGGGTCCA